AAATTACAGATGCTAGTAAATTACAACTTAAAAAAATAAAAATCCACAATTTCTACTGTGGAAATTTTCCCTCACCCACCAGGGTTGCGGTGTCTTATGGAAAGTATTTGAAAGTGGGTGGAAAGATCCCAAGTCTCATCAGGGGACCTGACTACCTCGTGAAACTTCACTCCTGTATTCCCTACCCAGCTTTAAAGTACATTTAGTGAGATTCTCTTGGTGGTAAACACACTCCCTTTTAGTTTAGCTACAAATATACTTATTTCAACCTCACTCTTGAATAACAGATTAGCTGATTATAATATTGTAAATTGACAGTAGCTGGTACTAACTTTGATGATATGGGTATACTGGTTTCTGATTTCACTGATACTTTTAGAAGGCTGCTGACAGTCTAATTGTTCTTGTGTATCTAATCTGTCTTCTCTTTTTGGCTAATTTTAAGACCTTCCCTTTATCTTTGGTGTTTTAAATGTCACTACCATGTAGGTTATTTAGAATTAATTATGCTTCCTAAATCTGAGGATCATGTCTTTGTTTAGTTCTGAATAGTTCTTAGGCATTTTTAATTCGATTATTTCCTATCTTCCATTCTCTCTATACATCAATTTTCTGGCACCCCATTTAAATGTATTTTTAGACAGTCCCATTCTGCTTTTCACATTTCTTAAACTGTTTCATTTATTTTACCTCTTCTTCCCGTATAAAGGCATAATTCTTCAAATCATTCTTTCAATTTATAGTATCTCTTCAATTATGTCTCATCATCTGTTTAAAACACTAAAGTGTATTAGTCTTACTGATTCCTAAAGAAGTTGTATTTGGGTATTTTTTCAATCTAAAGGTCTTTTCTGATAGTCTGTTGTTCATGTTTTCAATTCTTTTATTGTATTTTTTTAGATATCCTTTCCCCATGGATGGGATGTTGCAAAGAATATATATCTACCTCACCACACTGTCAGAAATAAACTCCCAGTGTAGTTTCCATTAATCTGTGATATGTGAGACTATTTTCTGTTTTCTATGTTATAACAGAAATAAAACAGAGGGCACGTGCAAAAAATATATTCCTTTTTTGCTTCAGCTTCCTCATCTGAAAATGAGCATATTTCCTATGGAATACAGTTATTAAGCAATTAACAATTGAGTAATTATATACAATGCTCATCATAATGCTGGAACATGGTGAGCATTCAATAAACACTAGCTCTCTTCCTCCATTTTTGTTAGAAGGAAAAAAAAATCTTAAAAGCCTACATTCCAGGAAAAGAAAAGCCTAAGCGTTTTTGCAAAGACATCTAAAAGGGACATCTCATTTTACCAATTACCCACAGCACACATTTCCTTAAAAAGAGTAAAACTCAAATTCAAATTATGCCACAAACATAACTTGCAGAAGATCACAGAATATATTACACATTTTCTAAATATCAAAACCATCAAAAGTTAAAAGAGAGAGCTCATCTCACATATAAAATATAGCATAAAACAAATGATTAGGGATATTGAAAAGACTGATTAATAGAAACAGATGGTAAACTATCAGTAATTATCCTCAGAGTATATAAAACAATTCCCTGTAAACAAAATTAACAAGTTTATGGAATCTTTTTACATAAAAATGATTCACTGAAATACCATGAAAACCTAAGAAACAGTAGGTTTTGGTGGCCAAGGATTATCAAACAAAATGACTTGTCAATTTTTCACATTATATTATTCTGCAAAGATCAGTTGAATTCAACATTTATACCTATTATGTACCAGGCTCTAAATAAAATAGAGAGATGAATAATAAAC